CGTGGCCCCATCATTCTGATGGATGAGGAATGTTTTAGAGGTTGGCCGCGTTTGTTTTGTTATTTTGTTTGTTTGTTTTGTCTGTCTGTTTTATTCTGTTGGTTTATTATAATTTTATTATTGTTTTATTATTTTAATTATGAGATATTTAATACTGTTTTAAGGGGGGTGGATTGGTCTCAGGGGTGATATTGTATGAGTGTTTATGTAAGCCGCTTGGATTGTCTTTGTCAATAAGCGGGATATAAATAAATTTTATTATTATTAATTTTATTGTTAAAAGTGTGATATAAATTATAATAAATTTAATATTTTATCTGTTTATAGAACTCTGTTATTCTCAACACGTATTTAGCAAAAAAGCTATTATAAGCTGCTAAGGAGGAGTGATATCCAACTAGACATAAGAACTTAGGTTACTTCACTGGATTAACTAAACAGAAGTGGTCTCAGTGTTGCTACTGTTGCAGTGTGAAACACTGCATAAAAACTGTGCAGTTTAAGATCCTTTTTTTATTTTGCTCTCTAGTTTCCATAGTCTCTAGTATATCCCAGTCTATAATATAAATTGAAAAGACTTTCCTGAAAGTAGAAAGCATGAAATACTCTGGTCTCTGGGGTAGTTGTTACAATATGTTCATTTTATATTAGTTCCTTCCTTTAAAAAAAAATGTGCAAGCTTTTAAAATTTCTTGGATCTTTTAATCAGGCATGATGTTTCAAAAAGCAAGCTATGAGGATAAAGAAGGGGGAAATCTGTTTTGATATTGATCATGATATATGGATTCCATCACTAGATGGATTCCATCTATGTTTGTAGACACTATGACTGTAATGCATATTCTTTCCATTTTTACCTACCACATGTTTTTATAACATCGTAAATTCTGAGGTCAAGAGATCTCAAAATTTTGTATATTTTCTCACGTCCTCATCTTATATTTGATCATGATGTAATGGTGGTGATGGGGATAATGATGATGATATGGGAAATATGGAGTTAGGTTTTCAGCTATAAATTTTAAAATATGATTAAAAAGACACTGGAGCTTGAAGATTCTCCATCTAATCTCTTCCTACCATCCTTTGAATTCCCAGTTCATATTTTAGAAACAAAAAAAAGTTCACTGTAAAGAAGAGCACACTTGAACAGAAGTGTTTCAGTCCTCCAGAAAATTATTTCATGCAGAAATATTTCTTTAATTTGTCTCACGCTTTCTAATTGCATTTTCCCTGCTTTCAACCATTTCTCACCGATATTTGTATAAATCAGATGATACAGGGGAGTTTAAAAAGTATGTCCTTTTCATTTAATTAATATATGACTATAAATGGAAACATGTAGTTAGAAAGAGTAAGCTAATTTTCTTAACATTTTGCATGAATTGACCTTTTAGATTCTATCTATATTGTAGCTATTTTTATTTTATTTTCTACATAGTTTGGAAATACACAGTACACCTTGACTGTGAGCATCTATTCATTTCCCTGAAAGCTTTTGATATACCGGCTATGCTCATGTGTCTCAGTTCTATACTGTAGCAGATCCTGTTCACAATGTTTTCTAGACAACCTGGAGTTGGCAAGGTTTGTTTGTTTCTTCAGCTTCAATGAAATTATTTGCAACCCCATCAAGAAGAGACCAAACATTGCCAATGACCCTCACTCAGTAATTAATTATGGGAGAATGTTGATTCAAATCTAATCAGATTTTGATGCACTTCAACTTGTTGGACAAGCAGTGTCACTCCTGTGGTCCCACTGTCACTGTTTGCATCCAGCTGTTTACAAGCCCAAACATGTACATGTCTCAGCTATGAAATGATGGCAAAATGCTCACTGTCAGAAGCCGAATGGAGAACAATCTGGTGAATCTTTTGCATTCCAGTGCAGCAGTTTCACCAAATGATTAAATGTTAAAGAAGCCCAAATATCCTCCTGGAATGATTAAAAGTTAACCATTACATAATGTTGATCTGAAAGATAAACCACATGCCTATTTTCAGATTATGAATTGGGTACAATTGCAGTGTCCTGGAACCAGAGCACAATGTTTCTTTGAAACTCCTAGTAATCCCAAACTTGAGAAGACTCTTTTTATTATGTTCCTGGCCATAACAACAGCAATAACTAGTTTGAAGTTCTGCCGTAGTGGATACCACCATAATATTATTAAATAGCACTTTGACAGTTGTTAAAGTGCAGGTGTTTTGTTTTGTTTTGTTTTGTTTTGTCTGGGGCAGAACAGAATTGCTGGGACATCTCCTTATAATCTCCTGTGATTGCAAGATACTGTTCCCATTAATCCATCTCAACTCACTTGCTTCCTGGGGCATACATAGGAAGACCTAGTGGTGACATGGGCATCATGCTATGCTCTTCCTTCTCTCTTTTCTGGTAGGAACATAATGAATTTTTTCTGTCCTCCAAGCATTCCTTCCTCAACCACATCCCCTCCTACTAATGTGTTTCATCTTATTGGTCAGTTCTGGTGCTGTTTGATTCAATAATAGGAGTACAAATTTGTTTATTATTAAAAGCTATAACAGTTTAATATAATTAAGATGAAATACAAATAAATAAGCTACAATAACAGCATTACATTTAAAACAGAATACAATAATAGGAATGAAATAATACCATGTTTCTCTCTACATATGCGTATGGGTGGGTGTGTTTCACATCCACATATCTTTTTTGTCTTGTTGTTACAGTGGTTTTTCCCCTTTTATTGCTGTGCCTCTTGGCTCTTTCTTAAATCAGTACAAGAAGACTCACTTTGATTCATGTGGGAACTAATGATTCTTGTCTCACAGGAAAGCTGGCAATTTTCCTTTCCCAAAGTCTCTTTCAAAAAGTCAATATTCTCTGTTTTTTTGCAGGGCGCCTTCACTTTCCGGGGAAGCATGATAGACATGCCATTACTGAAGCAGGCCCAGAACATTGTTACACTTGCCACAGCCATCAAGAAAAAATGATCTGCCAAATAAACCTTCCCCCAGGAGGGTTCCAGCCCAGGAGCTGTTTAAAGAAGGATTATATAATACTTGAAGAAAGAAAAATGCATCTGTTCAACCTTCAGCAGAACTCTGCTTACACATCCTACTCTTTCCCATATATTTTTCTCACTTATGTGGACCATAACAGTTTTGCATAACAAGCTTTTGTTAGGGGAAAGCTGAAAGCAAAATTGGCTCATTTGAGGGGAAAGGAGGGCCCATTAAAATCAATCAACAACATGGGAAAACTGACTCAAATTAATGTTTGCCTCCGCTAATTTTCCTCAGGAAAGGAACAAAAATACACTTATACTGAGTCAGACTACCTAATCCATATTGCCAACTCTGACTGGCAGCCTCTCTCCAGGTAAGAGTCTTTCCTAGCCCTACTGGAGTTCTCTGTTATATTTTGATAGTTTTCCATCCAAGTATTAACCAGTTCTCTGCTTAGTGTCCAAAACCAGGTAAGATTAGGTGGCACAGTCATATTTGCAAATGGAGTGCTGGGCTTCTATATCTTTTCTGGTTATGTAGAAGAGAAACTCTTGCTGGTGAGAGCAAAAAGGTCCCACTCCCCCCATTACACAATGATGAAAGATATAGGAGCACTGGTCAGATGGAAGCAACAAGAGGGCCTTTGGCCAAAGTATCGGCATACAAGAAAGACAAGGGGAACCAGCAGTGGGGATGAAGAATTAGGTACAGTGGTTCCCAAACTCTGGTCCTCCAGCTATTTTGGACTTCAGTTCCCAGAATCCCTGACCACTGGCTAAATTGGCTAAGACTAAATTGGCTGAGAGTTGGAATCCAAAACACTCCAAGGATCAGAGTTTAGGAACCACTGAATTGTAGCAGCAGGGGAGAAGCAATGCCAAAAAGGAGCTTGCCCATTTGAGAACCTGCTTAAGCTTTGTGAGTTTTGCTAGGACTTGGCTGGCAGGTTGGAGCTGCACTGCTGCTCCTGATTTCTTTTGTCAAGTTGGGAGAAGAGGTAGCAGAAGAAACAATGTTTGAGCAGAGGAACAACTTGAAGCTCT